ATAAAATTCATAAAAAGAATAATTAATAAATTAACATCTTTAACTGGGCACCCCAAAGTTTACTTGAATTTAAGATAAAAAAAAAAAATTGCAAATTAAATCGCACTGCAATTCAGATGCCAAGCTAAACAAATTTGCTTTTAATATTTAAGAAAATATTAATTTATTTAAGTAATTTAAACATTAAACAAGTGCAATTTATAAATTTATCCGTTTTGTAGAAAAACACTACCTTCTGCAAGGCATCTTTAGATCATAGTTCTTCACAGGACTACATCATTATCACATTCAATTCAAATGAATAAGGCAAAAAAAAAGTACACAAAGTGTTAAATTTATTCAGTGAAACATTTCAAAAAATAAATATTTAATTTTTGCATTAAGTAAAATACTTTTCAAACAAATAAATAAATAATAGCGAACCAGCTAAATGGAAAGACAGACGGTCTCTGCTAAAGTTTAAGAATTCCTCTACAGATACTAAGAAGAGAAAAGCCAATTCTAAATTTTGTGTATCGCGATGTGATTTGCTTGATTTATACATTTTCAAAATAAAATATTATATTTGATAAAATTCGAAACATTTTTTGGCGTTATAAACAAATTAAATAAACGAAAATAAAATTTATGTTTATTGCTAGTGAAAGTTTTATGAATTTTTAAAAATATCATAAAGATTCTATTTCATATAATTCATCAAAAAGTATCTCAAAACTTAAGAAAAAAAATTTTTTTATTAATATTATTTTCAATAATATTGCTAATTTGTTTTTATAGAAAAAAAATTTATTTTTTAATAGAAAAAAAATTATTTTTTTATAGAAAAAAAATTATTTTTTTATAGAAAAAAAATTATTTTATGAACAAAAAAAAAAATTTTGTTTGAGATAAATAAACAGCCACTCTATTATTAAATCAAGAAGATATCAAATTTTAATAAATTAATAAATTAAAAATGTTTATTTTTTAACATAAATAAACAGCTGATTTTGGTGTATAATAAGAAATCATTATGCTTAAGTGAAGTTCTTAAATTTAATAGATAAAATAATAAATTTATCTTTGACAACAAAAACAGATGTAAACAGCAACCGATTCAAAAATATATCAAAGGACGAATCTAGATGCAAAATCTGTTATACTCCCTTAACAAAGAATATAACAGAAATATGAAAAAATTATTTTCCAAAATATTTTGAAAAACAAAAGAAGTCTATGGGTACATAAAAAAGACGAATTGGGAATGTGATTCAAAGAATATAATAAGATGTTAGGCAACAAAGAAGAAGTCTACAAAAAAAAGCAGAACACTTAAGAAGAAAATAATTAAGTCAATTTTATAAGACATACCTTAAGAAGAGGTTTTAGAAAAAAAAAACAAAAAAAAGATGTGCTTTAGAGAGAACAATTAAGAAGAAAATAATTATATCAATTTTATGTGACATATCTGAAGAAGAGGTTTTAGAGAACAAATAAAAAGATTAGAGAGACATTAGAGAGAACAGTTAGGAAGAAAATAATTATGTCAGTTTTATATTTTTCTTAAGGTTTTCCAAAAAAAAAATGATTAACATTAGAGACAACACTTAAGAAAGACATATTATGGTTTTAGAAAGTAAAGATAGCCTAGGTGCTATTGAAGAGGATACTATAGAAAGTATTTTAATAAACATGAAATTTTCGAAAACAAAGGAAACATTTCAAAAACAAATGTTATACAAAGAAAGCCTAGGTGATCATGTGAGAAAACACTGCAAAGGAATGCAATGGACACAACAAGACCTTATAAAACTAGATCTTGCTAGGCAGATATAAAATAAAACAAATAACAAGAAAATACAATTAACAAAACAAGGTTTTAAAAACCAAGAAAAACTAGGTGAACATGAAAGACAATACTCTAGAAGGAAATAACAAAATTTTAAAAAACAAACAAAGCTTAGTAGTACGAGAAAGTGAACACTTAGGAAGAAAATACTGTGAATACAATACGAGTGGTTTAAAAATAAAACAAAATTATATATTTATAGAGTTAACAACAGAAAGGAAATACAATGAATACAACAAGGATAAGGATATACATAACGAAGGGAATTGATTAATAATTGAATAAGAATATGAAAATATTGTGAAACCTAACTGACTAAAAACACACTGGGAATGAAAGAACTCAATTATTATCACACAGATTTTTGTTGGAAAAATAATTTTTGATATATACATACAATTATAAGCAAAGACTTAACCATGTTAATTAAAAATATCAATACAACATTTATTAAGTAATTTATCTATTGACATAACTTAAAAAATGACAACAGTTATGATACGATTTAACAGTTATGTATTTTTCTATGACTATATATATATCCATATGCCTTACTTTTTCACATATCACTATAACAATCCATATTTCTACCTTTATAATGATTATAATGGTAGTGATTTGGTGGATATTTAGCTGATCATCAGAATAACCTTCTAGAAGCAGTTCAATTCTCGTCTTAGAGCCACTCATACTTCCAGATGACAAAGTACTGTTCGCGACTATAACAAAAGCAGCTAATACTACAATGCTATAAACTATATGAACTAATTTTCACTAATTTGTTTGATCCATAACTAAACACGAGAATTATAAAATTGATATTACTATATATATTGATTTTATAATCAATTATAAATTTTCCACCTTTTTGAACTTTTGTTAAAAACAAATACAAAGTAAATGTTTCATATACCTTTCGCCGTATAATACAGATACAGTTAAGCACTGTCTAATAGCAAAGCATACCGACCTGTTATTAGCCCTCTTTTTTTAACATTACTATCGAAGTAATAGACAAGTGAAAAAAGAATAATGCGCTACTCATCTTTTCTATCGTAAAACGGCACTCGTCAAAAAACGATTTTCTATAGGTTTACAGTTCCTTAAGCGTCGATCCGCAATCTCTAATATATGCATTAAAAATATTACCAGTTTCATTTAAACAACGCAATAGTTTTTTGAGATCTATTCAAGGATTATGCATACCAAAATTTTGTACAGTCAGCTAGCATATTTAAACCGGTTTAAACCGTTGACAACCGGTTCCATTTAGGACCTAAATGAGGAGAAGTTTTATGAAACGACTACTACTAACATCTACGCATCAATCTAATAAGTCTTTTATATACTTATACTTAGAATATTAGTTATTCTGCATTAAGGAAATAAACATTGAAAATTGCTATTGTATTTAAAATCAATAACAATATTCTTTGGAATCTTTGGAAATAATTATAACTTTATTTAAAATTTAATTATTAAGAATTATAAAATTTAATAGAAAATATATTTTTAAATTAGTTGAAATTTTTTTCCAACCATACAGCGTTTCTAATTATCCCAAATACTTATCGTCAGTGGTCCTTAGAAATTTCTTCTTTTTTTTTAATCAAAAATTAATTAATTCAATAAAATTTTTGATGTTACTTTTATACTATTTACCGCCTTTTAAAAACATTTATGTGCAATAGACAAAACTATATCTGTCGTATATAATAGCAAGATATGAATATAAAATATCCTACAATGAAATAAATATCATGAACTTTATGGATGGTGAGGTGCTCATATCGGACACAGAAAGTAATCATCGAAATTTGCCTTTCATGATAAAAAAAACTTTTGCGAAAAGACAGAACAGATCATAATCCATCGAATAAATAATGAATTTCATAAATAAAAGATCTTTAATTAAATTCATCCCTTAAAAGTCTGATAGTTTAAAGTGCTAAACTAAACTATAATAAAAAGACCTTATTAATATCAATGTGCCTCTGTGATGTAGTATACTTAAACAAAGGTATGAACATTGAATTGATATATCATAAGACATATATTAGTTCTATTATGACATATAAAATTGACAAAAATAAAAATACACACAAAAGTAACAAAACGTGTATTAACGAAAGATATAATAACACTCCGAAGTATCGTAGAATAAAAAGACAGAGGGGAATATATAACAAAGGTACAAGAAACACTTTCGAATTATAAAATCAAAATTATAAAATCGTGAATGGAAAGCAATAGATAGGGTTATAGGTAAAAGGTTTATATATAGGAGACACTCCAACAAAATATTAGAAAATGAATTAAGAGATATTAAGTCAAGACAACAGGGAAATTAATACACAGTTTGCTAAAAATGGCGGACGTGGCGCCAAGGAATACAAAAATAGAAACTAAAAGCATAATAATCATATATAATATATACATATTATTTTAGTTTCTAAAATTATTTTAGTTATTTTAGTTTCTAAGACTACTCTAATTAAAAAAATGTGAAAAAACAACGTTCGAACAACAATCCAGATTAGGATGTCATCACAAATGACACGTAACCGTTTCGCCGATTTTTTCATTTTTACTAGTAGGTTAATCCAAGCAGATTATTAAAGTGCCACTAGGTCACAACAAAAATAAAGCTTAACCAAGAGTACATAACTTATTTGTAACCTGCCGAACATGAGTTTGAATATGAATGGGTGATGGTTATTTGATAGGAGGAGGACATTAGAAATAAAGAGTGGATTTGGGTATAAATTAATATCAACCCGGGTCCAAACGAAAAAAACCCTTTCACTTCAATGGACCAAAGCTCAAATAGATGGATTGGACGCAAAAAAAGCGACGTCATGGGGACTAGAGCTGCAGTTTGGGCACACATTAGAAATTAACGTGTTTATGCGTGACAAGTAACTGTTTTGCATGTGGCTATATCTTGATATCAATTGAGCTAGCACAGTTCTTGCTGTCGTTCTTCCTTAGAGATGCCATAACTTCTTATATAGTTAACAGAAAAACAATAATCAAATTGTATGTAATTACATACATAAAATAGTAATCATTTAAAACATAGAAAAATTGCAATCATAAGAAGAAATAAGACAATTTTGGTTCATATACGGTAGTTATTAAAAATAACATTTCATTTATATTGATTGCTTACCTTAAAATCTGACAACGATGCCATTAAATCATCCAGTTCTTTTGTAGCCGATGAAGCATACATTGGTGGAGCATGAGCATGATTTGGCGTAAAGCTATCTTTATGTTGAACAATTTTCTCTTCAATAGAACCAACTGTAAAAAAATATTTTTTTTTGATAATCAAAGTATATTCTAAATGTATAATTTTATAAAATACCTGGTCCATCGGGTCCTGTAAGTTTTTCCGTTTTTGTCTCACGAACAGTAATAGTAACATGACGACCAGGTGTTGGTGATTTCGTCAATGAACTGAAAATATATACATCATATTGTTAAACATAAGCAAACAATAGTTTTATTATAGAAGTAGTAAATGCTAATTTCTAAATTTTTTTGGAATAAAAAAATAGAACAAAGCTAAGAAAATGTGAAGCAAAGCAATGTGAAGTGATTGTTAAATTAATAAATAACTTATTTATTAGTAATAATAGTAGCAATAAAAAATTATTAGTAATATAGTGAAGTTTTAAACAGTAATGAATATTTACATATTGCCAAATACCCATCAGATATGATCTAAAAATATAATTTTTTAATGTAATTATACGTAAATAATTGTTGCCACAATTATTTTTTACATGTAAATTAAGTAGGTAAGTATGTAAGTCAAGGAAATGTCTATATTTTAATAGAAATGTACATATTTATATATTTATGAGTATCTAGTTACATACTTGTATTAATATATTTAAAATTCGTATTTTTAAATTTAATAAAACATAACATAACAGAAATATGTACACCATATATTACAAATGTCTAACAATTCATATATCCGGAATTAATAATTACACAATTATATTTAATAGAAAAAATATAATTATTTATCATTATATTAGTAACTGAAATTAGTTATTAAAAACTTAAGATATTATTATACAAATATAATATATAACAGTATCAAAGTTAAAATTAAATTAAAATATAATCGGTTTGCTACATACGTAATTAAAAGAATTAGTACTATACAACATAATTCTAAATTATATAGTATTATAAGTTTTAATCTAAAATTAAGCAGAAACGACAAAAATTTGAACAGAAACAAAATAAAAGTATAAAATTGTGTTTAATACTGCAATAATAAAGAGATATATATTTCTTATTTTTTTATATATATTTATTTATAATTTAATACATTTAAATTTAATTTAATAAATTTTAATTGACTTTAAAAGTATTTAATATAATTTAAATAATATATTTAATAATATAATTTAATAATAATAATAATATATAATAATAATAATATATATAATTTAATTTAATACATCATTTAATTTAATATAATTTTTTTTAATATAATTTAATTTAATATAATTTTTTTAATATAATTTAATTTAATTTAATGTTTATGCTTTTTATTTTCTTCGAATAAAATAATTTTAATTGAATTGCTTTATAAATTACATTAAAACTATTTAATTACAAAATAATAAATAAATAAAACAGTAAAAATTTTTTTATATTATAAATACACATAATAACATATTAAACAACTTTAAAACAAGAAGACAAATACAAAATACTTAATAGCGAAAAAATTAATATTGTAAGCAGAATAAATAAAATAAAGATGCGAGATATTAAAATAATATTATTATATTTTAAATATTATTACATTTTCATTTATAATTAGAACTTAACAAGTAATTAATAATAGTTGCTATTAATCATAGACGATTAGAATAAAATGAATTAAGAGTAGTTAGAACTGCTTAAAATATTGTTTTCATTTAAATAAAGAAAAAAGAAAAAATATTATAAAAGAAAAAAATATAAAATTTATAAATACATAAATAAGTTTCACTCAGTATAAATAACCAAAATAATTATTAAGTAGAATAAAACATATTTATTTTGTTATAATATATGAATTAAAAGTAATAATATTTTAATAACATAAAGTAAAACTAAGGAAAAAATAATAGTATTTATTAAAATAATAAAAATTTTGATATTATTTTGAAGTTCTAATATAAATATTAGTTTTACTTATTTTATTATATACATTCAATTTTTTAAATACAATCTTTTTTGAAATATTAGTTAAATTAAATAAAAAATACAATAAATTTAATTTAAATAAATTTAATATTAAAAAATTGATATCATAAAAACATAATTAGTTTAAATTTAAACACAATTATATTATTAAGTTATTTAAAAATACATTATGAAATTAATTAAATCAATTAACAATATAAAATTAGTATATAATTAAAACAATATATAAACAATTAAAACTAGGTAAATTATAGACTTTACGTGTTTTGAAATGATGTATTGTATTTTAAATAACTTTAGTATATTTAAATAAATTTGTTGCTATACATTTTCATGAATATATAAAATTTAAAAAAAATATATGAAATATAACTAAACGCATTGTGACTAATGAAAGTTCAACTACATGTTAAAAATATAAATATAAATCAAAAAAAAAAAAATTTTAAAAATATTTATAAAATTAAATTTTATATAATAAAGCACTGCGTAATATAGAAAATTGTAAACATAGATTTGTATAAAATAGAAAAATATATTGTATAAAAAATTTTAATATGTTTTATAAAAACAAGATATATACAAAATAGATCTATTATAAAATAATATAAAATATATATAAAATAATATTAAAAAATGTTTACAATATTATATAAAATAATATTAAAAAATGTTTAAAAAAATTTTAAAAACCTGTACTTATAAGCTTATAAATTTGTAATTTAAAAGAATTAATTAATAAGAGGAGTATATATAGTAACATATCTACTAAAAAATACAACCTCGTATTGTAATCCCTATAATATAAAAATTGTTGTCTTGTAATGTTTTATAAAACGTGTAGTGGTATCTGAAGCACTTTTATACAATGATGACTACGAAAATTTGTTTCATTTCAATCCGATATTGAATCACTAAAGTAAATTTATAAAAATATATTTTGAAATCGAGCTTATTTCCTTGACATCGTATAGACTGTACTTATTTCATTAGCGTGTATTGCAGTGTTTAAGGGATCTATATTTGATAAATTTTGAACGCATTTAATGAATCACAATAAAATATATAAAATAAGATACAAATAGAAGATACAAATACATATTTGTAAAAAAAAATGTTAACACAATAAAATATAAATATAAAAATTAAAACTCTAACAGACTTAAATAATGATGTACAAGCGTATATAAACCAATTATAAATGATTTTAGTATATGGGACAATATCTATTTTATTATTATTATGTTTAAAAATACAGTAAACTGATAATACTTTATATCAAATAAATAAGATTAAAAAGCGATAGGTTAAAATTCGTATTCAAGTTCAAAAATATGTAGCATATTTAATATATATAAAATTATACAAAATACAAATATATAAAATAAATAAATAAAATAAAAATTTATGAATTCAAATTTATAAAATACAATATTTATAAAAAGAAATTGTATACAAATTATATGTCATATTTGCTTTAAACATAAAAATTATGAAAGTAATTTTTTTAATATAAAACAAACAATAAAAATTAAATAATTTAATAACAGTAGATATTATTAGCTATATATGCAAGCTATATCATTTTTTATTAAAATATTTCCAATATAGTATAATTATGTACGATATAAGAAATATATATATCTTATATAAGAGGTATATATATTTACAAGTCTATATATATAATATATAAGCTATATTTATAAGTAAAATGTAAATTTAACTTTTATTTTAATACGGCGTATTTTATTTTAAATTACAAGATAATTTTTATCTTTTTACAATATATAAAAATAGATAACTTTTAATATATAATAAGATATTAAAAGTTTTTATAATATAATTTTAATAATAAATTAAATAAGTATAAATATTAAATAAACATAAATATTAAATATATATAAATATTAAATAAATATAAATGCTAAATAAATATAAATATTAAATGGAAATTATGGCAGTATATTAGTAAGTATTTTAGAAAATAGTTAGTATTTTTATATTTTGAAGTGCACTAACACATAAAATTGCAAAATTTGAAAATAAAATCAATATAAAAATTATATACCCATTCGGTACAGCATAAATAGACGCATTATCCATTTCATTCAATAGACTATCTACTGTGGGCCGTTCTTCCACAGACGCATAACTATTAAAAGTATTATATTTCGATGAGGGAGTACTATATGTAACAGGCACTGTAGTTTCTGTAAATAAAGATTCATTAACTATTTTTACTACAATATAAAATTATTTTATTGTAAATAATATTGTTATATGAGTAAAGGATAAAATTATCAAATGATGTGTTGAAAACTAATGGTTTAGCATAGCAAGAAAAAGTATTAACTATATAAATAAATACTTCCTAGGCAAATATTTAACTTTGCGCAATCTATTTTATACTCTGCATCTAAGCTCAATTAGAAATTTGTATCTAAACAAAAAGTTTTTATACTAGCAGAAAATAATTTAATTTCTTTTACGAAAAAAAATTCTTTTAAATTACTTTGTAGTATAAATTTACCAGTTACATAGTTCTGTGAACCGGAGCATTAATTGAAGTATAACGAAGTATAAATAAATGATATCGCTATTCGTGCTACACTCTAAGTAACCACTAGGATATAGAGTTAGTTTGCCCTTAAAAGTATGGTAAGGCCTCCTTCGCCTCCTCCGCAGACCAAATTAAAACAGTTTGTCTTAGGAGTAACCATAACCAATAGTATCATCTTAAGACGACGGGTGTACTTGAAAGCCGACGAGACCTTTAGTTAGATTCTTTGTTAATGTTCGACTTTGATAAACGGTATGTGAAGAATACTAAATTCGGTTCCTCAATTTCCATTTGATACTCGTATTAAGAGATTCTCAACGAATGATAGAATCTTCTAAGAAGAACTAACAACCTTCTGTTTAATAAATGTTAATTGTAGCCAGTTTCCTGCTAATATATATTTTATATAGTAAAAATATAGAAAACATAAATATCAAAACAATTTTTTTTTATGACAGTTTAGTGGTTAATCATTTTAAAAGATTTCTTTAGAGTATACATATCTAAACCCAAATAATTAAAGGGCGCTTTGCTATTTAAATGTAAAGCAACTTTTTATACTGATAATAAATATTAATTTATCATGGTTTTAATAAACAAAAAATAAATTTTTTTAGACTTTAACAGCATTTAATGACGAGTCTCTTGCTATACACACACCATTTGATTATTTCAGAAACTTTAATTACGTATTCGTTACACACGGTTAAATTATGTTAATTAAACAGCAATACACTACACAATAAGACAAACCTTTTTTATCGAAACTGTTATTGTATCTTGCATTGCTAAGGTCTTCCAGCAATGAGTCTAATTCAGATAAACTAGAATTATTATGCGTTTGTGCAGCTGCATTTGTTACACTATTATAACCATGACGTGGCAATGAACCCTGATTTTGATATTGATAAGATTGACTACCGGGCGTAATTGCAGGTCCACTATTATAACTAGAATTACCAATAGGTGAAGTTCTTGTTTCGGTAACGGTATAATGTTCCTGGTATACAGGCTATAGAAATAAAGAAAACAAAATGTTAATTTATGTAAATATATAATCATTTCAAGTATTTACTGTTTGATTGGTAACTTTGCCTCTCAGGCTGCCATATCCTGAGGAGTCACCATAATTATTATGCTGTTGCTGCACCGTACTAGTACTGGCAGTTGAGTATTGAGGCTGACTATGATGTCCGGGTACGCTGTTTTGTAAATCGGCAAGAAGTGCATCTGTAATAAAGAAAAAAATTAATTATAATATATAAAATATATAATATACTATTATATTTTTAATTATAATAATTTTTGAGAAAAATATTAACAGTATTACCAAGATTGTCGTAGTCACCGGAATTACTCATCGTTAAAAAGAATTTTGGTAGACAAGTTGGTCTACTAATTGTCAAAACAAAATGCAAACTGATCAAGGGAGTGGCATATAGGCGTTTTAGGAATTTAAACTTCAATTACCTTGCTATAGACTTTACTATTTTATCAATTTGTTTTGTTGTTGCTGCCTCTCTTGTTAATGTAAACGTAATTTCTTATCAAGTTTTCTTTTAAAAGTGATAACAACGATACCAGTGGCGTTAACAAAAATAAATAACGTTTTGTTAAAATAAGATTAAATAAGTAGGAATAAAAATTTTTGTAAATATATAAAGTAATAAAAAAAACAAAAATTGTTTTTTTTTTTAAATATTTACTTTAAAATTTAATACTGTAATATTGTTTATTTTGTATTTATTGTTATTATAATTATGGCAGTCCCACTACAATAGGTATTGGGACTTACATAAGCCATGCCCGTTGTAATACTTTTAAAAGACTTGCCTCATTTTCTCCACACCTTTTAGTAAAACTATCTGGTTTGCAAAAAAAAAAAACAACCTTAGCAGTCTTGTTTGGCCGACTGGACACATATCAGAGAGATTACCGTATGTCTGGGTACAAAATAGTCGTGTAACGCTAGTAGATACGCACTACCTACCATATAACATAGATTTTAAAGGTTTGTAAATTACCATTGAAGGTGGTATTGAGGACAGAGAATTAAGCCAACGAGGAAAGATGGGAGAGAGAAGGAGTGCCGAGTAAATCTCCACTAAATAAACCATGGAGAGAATTAATCGATTTGTATTAAGTTCATACAGAACAGCAATTATTACCGTAGCCAATTGATTATCTTTCTGAGAGATGATAGGTGAGACATATGTTAAGAGCCGGATTTTGCTATTAAAGTATGGTTTTCAAATTGTATGGGAGGATGAGAGCCCTGATTAATATATGACTAGTTGAAATCCTGCTATTTATGTGTCCATTTTTATGTCTTTTTGCATGGCTGTCTAGAATACAGTCCGTAGATAAAGATACATACCTTTATCAGCATTAGAAAACAATATGGTAATATGGGTGAAGCACTGGCGTAATCGGATTGCAATCGATGAAGTCTAGTTTAAATACAACAAAACCTATTTTGGTTTTGGATTGATAATTTTTTGTGTATTGCTTTCGAGAAATTTAGAATTGTGTATTAAAAGGTAAAGAAGAAAAAATATCTACAAAATATAACATTTGTTTAGGTAATTTATATGTATATATGTTGAAGTCGCATATTTAGTTATATCCAAATGTCAATGAAGGCCATACTTTATAGACACATATAATTACCAATAAATAACCTATTGACAAATAGATATTTTTCAAAAGTTCTAAATAATATGTATATATACATATATATGTATATATTACATAAAAATATTATATTATTATATATATAACATTATATATAATAATATTATAATAATAATATTATATAAAATTATATATATATATATTATATAATATTATATATAATAATATTATAATAATAATATATATAACAATAATATATATTATTTACAAATATACAGAAAAGTTTTCTATGAAGATAAGGACAAGACCACGATATAATTCTTCGTCGCTTACGACTGACTTAAATAACGTTTTATTTTTTAGATGGCAATGCTCCGCTCCGTTAGAAGCCGATACCCTACGTATATCTAATCTAATCTAATTAGGGAATATGGAAATACGTTAACAGCCACATTTTAAAAGTTCTCATTTTTTGTTGGAATCAATGCCTTCTGCCCTCTGCGATTTGACTAATTACTTCAAACACTTTTACAAACTATACTTTATCGCAGATAAATCACACAACTATGTCACAACTTCCTTCGTTGATTGTCTAGCAATATAATATGCAATATAATATGAGTGAACAGTCATGTTGACTCCAAAAGCAGTCAAGATTAAGTTTATTATCAATGGAAAAATGGGCCGTTATTTATAACTCTATTCTGAGGATCATTGACAATATCATTCCGACTTTCCCTATTTTTGTCTGTAAAGAATACAAATTTTCAGAATATATCGATAACATATAGATCGCTGTTATATCTTTAATACTCCGAATATGATAATTTCTTTATTAAGAAATTACTGAGACAAAGGTGAGCTTTATAGTTTTATGTTCGATAATTATGTATGATAATTAAGCAAACATTAGTTAATAAACTGAGGGCGTTGTCTGACAGATTAATTATTGGCTGTAAAAAATGATTTTATATTTTAAAAAAAATTATCGACTAAAAGAAGATTTTGTGCTGTTATTCGAAATATTAAACATGCAATATGGTGCGTACAGGGTTAAAAAAAAATTACTCTTAAAATAAATGCAATATTCTAAATTTAAGTGCTGCAGAAGTTTGTTCCACAGCCACTTCTGGATAATGTTTAATGAAATTTTAAGTAATTAATGTCGGGAGATTAATTGTGTCAGACTCGTTTGTTAGTTTCAATATAAATTTAATTTCATATACGTGTTTAATTGTGTGTTTTTTAATTACGACAAAATTCTTCGAACAACATAAGTTCCAATTTGTGGGATCTCATCAGCGACTGCATAAGTTTTAGTTTGTTGGGATGCATAAGTTTTTCTTGGAAACATTAATTTCCGTTTGGTGTTGACTTACAAAAAATAAAAAATGTTGAGCACAACATAGAAATTATAATTACAGTAAATAAATAAAAATGTACAAAATGAAAATGCACAAATTGATTGTTATGGAAATTTTAGGGTTTACATATAGTCAGAGAGATATCTGATTTGAAATGCATATTTATCTATAGATGATACTAATTCCCTATAATTAATCATGCATGATATAGTTGCTCGATTATCTCGAAAACTAAGGAAGTAGTTATTTTTAATAGGATGAAAACGAAGTGAATTTATGTACATAAAATGTCAACTCATAGTTGAATGTCATGCTAATTCAATCAAAATGTCGACAGTAGCCAAATAAAATGTACACCATTCTGCTACTATTACTCACTCATAGGTATCGCTACACTAAGACTTTATGAAACCAAATCTGAGATAACTATATATTCCATCAAGACTATAATGTTTTCATTCAAAAGCAAACACAGCATTAGTTGACCTTTATCATAAATGTATTAGTAGATCAATTCATGTTATCGAGCGACATACATTAAAAATACACGTACCCTATATGTGTAATAGGGTCTGCAATATCTACTTCAGTGCCTTATAATATCTAACGTCACATACCCGAGAAGAATATAAAAGTAATATTTATGATAATTGATATAAATATTTTTGCATTATAATACACAAATAAATAATATATTATTAGTTATTATTTGTAATTGTTAAGATTTAATTTTTGTTTTTTTTTTTTGAAAATTAAAAAATTATATGCCATATAATTCTATTAATGACTAACGTGAAAAATTAATTTATATGAACGAAGTAAAACAATAAATCTCTTCTATTGCATAAAAATTTAAATATTATTTAAACAAAAAATGCTTATATAGCTTAATTGTGCTTGATATAGCACAAATAATATATATATAAACTATATATATGAAGAAATAAATTTTAAAAAAATGTGCTTCGGTTTTCGAACTGAATATGTATTCATATATCTATTTGAATAAGTTGCAGGATACAAATCCACAATTTTTACTACGTCCTAGTAATAGAAATACGTCTAATTTTTTAGTTCTTAGATTGAATACTATTAAAATATGGTATATGTTCAGCGGTAGCATCGCCCAATGCATGATATGTTTAGTTTTGCCATTTTACAATATAGATCGTTTAACAACAGCTAAACATGTAAAAGTTATAAAAATTTGCTAACAAAAATTGAGATGACTTTACACATCATATATTTTGCAATGATTAGGATTATTTTTTGCTTGGTGTATATCTCAATCAAAAAATTTTTGTCGAGGTAGAGCAAACTACTTAAGTGGCAAAAGAAAATTACATATAGATACATATAATTTTATAGGTGTCTATATGTGTCCATTTATTAACGTGAAATTAAAGGTATGGATGTGGGCAATATGTGACTTTAACAGGACGGTATCAGAAGTCACACAACATACCATGCTTTAGCTTTTTTGCAGGAAAAATTTCTCAGACGTTATAATGATGTGAATTGGTCATCATCACTATTACGGTCACGCAAAGAATTCTATTTATATTCTATTATATGGACAATCCTCAGATTTTGGACTGATTGAAAAAGAACGTTTGCCGAGTAATAGCCTAGCTATTTGTAGTTATGTACCCACAAACCAACTAAATTACTGGAACTGGAAAGAATGCAGTACTGTAAGGTGTTCCGTGGAGGATAATTGAATGTCAATGATCTTTTAGTTCAAACCTAATGACAATATAATAATGTAAGAATTTAATCGAAATCTTAATCAGAAGTTTGTGTTATTTAACTCTTGATACATTATGCATAAACATATAAAGAAATTATAATAAATAATAGAAAAGTTGTATTTTAAGATATATGTAATGACTTTAAGTTCAATATCGCATTGCGTATTAGTTATATTTATGTACATAACTATTGGTTATTAACAGAAATTTTTGCTTATTTCAAGTTTATTATAGAAGTTAATTAAATTATATGCACCGATTTTTGTAAAGCGTAGGGTATATTAATTTCCATATTTACATTTATTAAGTTATTTACTCAAAACTTACCCAGACGTCTTTCAAACTCGCCTACTGTAAAATAATCATTGCGGGTACTATGCAACGATTTTGAATATAGTTTCGAAGACATTATCGTATATTAAATTACAGCAAAACTTTTCACACGTTTGGCAAGGCAAACTTTTATGAATGAATGAATTTA